CGTTAACGTAACGTAACGTAACGTAACGTAACGTAACGTAACGTAACGTAACGTTAACGTTAACGTTACGTACGTTACGTACGTACTACTACTCTCTCTCTCTCTCTCTCTCTCTCTCTCTCTCTCTCTCTCTCTCTCTCTCTCTCTCTCTCTCTCCAAAACAAACTACTAGTCAAATCAGAGCTCAAAAAAACAAGAAGCAAAAACTCAATCACTGACATTCAGGGTCTGATAGAAGATAGTAATAAAGATCTTACAATAAGAAAATCAGGTCAATCCTTGATACAGAGACCTTAGTATAGAAAAAAGTGCTAGTGAACGGATCCAACAATAAAAGAGGTAATTTCATTTTTTTGTGCATATATACTGGCCCAGATGCAACAAGGTTTATATATCATACTAGTCCGAGTTGGCATGAGCTTTTTTTTGTAGATTTTATCAACTATCACTAGCACGGGAAGACAGGAAACAGCAAGAATGTTTTCTAGAAAAATACTAATCCATAATTAGAAGCTTGATAAAGTAGGGAAAGGCTTAAATGATCAATCAAAAACCTGCCATAATTAGAAGTGCAAATAGATAAGAATAAATCAAGAAACCACTGTTGGACACCAAGGGGACAACAAATTTGAAAAAGAAGAAAATAAATATCAGTATCTATACCATTAACAATGAAAAGTCCTTTTGATCCTTAAAGAATGATAAAGATACGAGATATTTTCTATACGTGTTGCTTTTATTACAATATATTCCTGACTTAGCCTTCAACACAAGAGAGAAATAATCTTAGTCAACTTAATTGCACTCCTATTCACATAGTCTCTACAAATTTCGTTTAGGATGGTTGTCATAATCAGCATTGTCGAGAATAAAAAAAGTCCTGATTTCGGAAAAGGCTAAGTCCAGTAGAGTTAATCTAAAAAAGCTAACATATTTCTGGAAATTTTATAGCAATCAATTTAAAGTGCCATGAAGAATTTCTCACTCAAATTATTGTAGTTTGCACTTATTTTGGTTAATTTAGTTTTCAGCAGAATGATATTTTGGTCACGTAAGGAGCATTCTTCTTTGTAAGAGATTATAATTTTGAACATATTCATGTCTGTGTGCATATTTGCCAATATGAAATTATAAACATGCTATTAATTTGGACATCCTAATATGAGATTATTTTAGCACTAGCAAATCTCCAGGGGTTCATAGCCAAAGTTAGTGCACATTCTGCAAAAGCCTATGATAAGCATTACTAACACATGAATGTTTCGAGGATAGAACTATTCAATACAATGTAAGGAAAATCATAATTCAGATGAAGCCAAGTATATAGAAACATGGAAAAGACATCACAATGACTTCAATGACACTTCAATGCTATATTAAAGAAGTAAATGACAAAATAAACTTTCATAACTACCTGTAAAAAGAGGCCAAAAATGACGGATGACCGTATGATATGTGGGTATCTAAAATAGTGTCCATCATCTTATGATATATGGGTATCTAAAATAGTGTTCATCATCAAAACTAAAGCTAGATTCCAATGGCAGAGACCGTAGTTCCTGCTATGGCAGCGTAAACATCAAGGTCAACAATGAATAAATATATGTATTAATGCTATAGAAGGCACACTATTTTTCATAGCGGATGACATCCTTTTATTTTTCATTCAAAGCAGATAACAACAAATCCAACATCACGGGAGAGACATGGCTATAATACTTCGGTCAACATTGGAGATCAGTTGCATGATAGAATAAACAAACAGAATCTTCTTAAAGCAACAAGTTGACTCTCTTATATGAAAGAAGATGAAAACAGGACACCATTTAAATAAGTTACATACAAGAATCTGCCAATTGGCTAGTAACAAGGTAATGTTAAAAGATGAGGATTAATCCATTCATTTATTTTCTGGAATAATTTTTTGGAAAATCGGATGAACTCCAAGCTATACAAAAGATGTTCCCTGAATTACTGGATTTGGCCATTCAGGCTTTATTTGGCAGAAGAAAAGGAGGGGAAAAAATAAATAAGAAACTGGTCCCCCGGATCTTTTAGTAAGGCAACAATTTACATTGCCACAGGTTCCAAGGTCTACTGTGAGCTCAGACCAACAGCCACAAGGATCTGACAGTGGGTTGAATAAGCAAGAAATATATCACAGGACACTGATTCCTTAGGTAAATTCTTTTACTTCTCGATCAAAATTTCCTTGAGGAAATTCTTTCAGTTCTCCACCAAAATACCTGAAATGCTCAAGGAAAATAATAATTATATTCAAAAGTCTAAGGGATCTCTTAGTGCGTTTGTTTTGGATCCTACAATATGAGGTAGTGATGTTACACCTGAGGCAAAGAGGAACATAAAGGCAAAGCCCACAAAGAGTTTATCCTCCTAAGCAAAAATTGCAAAATTGATTCCCGAAACCTGGTGTTGAACAGAGCAAAATATTTTAAAGGAGGCATTTTGGTCTGTCACATTCTTTAACTCTCTTCCCACATTTTAGATGAAAGCAAAATCCAAAGGATGCCTTACAAATTAGATTTTGAGATAAACTGATTCAAGTAATTACCATAGATAGCCCAGATAGCTCTTCGCCTCTCAGGGGTCATGAGTAAAGTGCCTGCAAAGATAAACAACTGAGTCAAAATTACCGTAATTTCAAGGTGCCATCCGTTGAGATGCAAATCTGAAGTACCAACTCAAGCTTCAGCAATTCAGTCACTTTATAATCCCCATTTCTAGAACAAATATAAACGAACGAGACATGGAAAATGGATAGAAGAGAAAAATCCAAAATTTAAACTCACATATACATAACCAGAAAACCACTAAGTAGGGAAATCAAAAGCTCCTTTTCTTTATTTGATCCTTAAATCATAAGATCCAACAAGTAGTAATGTAGAACTCGGATTATGTGGCTCAAGCTGAAATGCAAGATATGACCCCAAATTTAACAAGCAAGATATGACCCCAAATTCACCACCCATAACACTAATTTTACAAAATTATTACGACAATTTTACCTCCCATCAACAAATTTCTATATTTTTTTTTAAAAAAAAAAGAAAAACAATTCAATAATTAAGAAAACTCCGAAAAGTTATTACCAAAAAAAAACAAAAACAAAACAAAACAAAAAAGATAAGAAGGCTAACCCAGGTAAAAGGTCTTTGCATATTCTGCACACACTTCTCCACATCTATCATAAGCTTCATTGAGCACTTGTAAACTACCATGAGCCACCATTTCTGGCCTTACAACGAGCACTGATTTTGATCTCACCTGCTCTCTCACTAGAGCAGCCTGCTTGAGCACCACATCATAGACCTTTCTCTCTGATGACAAGGCGGCTTCTTTAGGTGGACTAGCAACCATGCTTGCATAAACAGAGAACCCATTCTTTTTTTGTCGAAGCCTTTTATCGAAACCAAGACTTGCGTTTTTTAACAGTGTCTTTGTAGTCCATGAAACTTGCCCTGTCTCTTGAATTGAATTAGAAAACCCTAGATTATTGGGATGTTCAGTGGGTGAGACAACCCACAGTAAAGTAATTGACATTATGAAGTGTGAAGAAGCCTAATTCTCCAGAAATCTCTTCTTCTCTAAATTCAAAAGCATGAATGAATCAGGTTAGGTGGGTTTCCTGGTTCAAATGGCGATGAAAACCCATTGTAATTGAAGTTTCCCGGTCACAAAAGCTTCAATCGCTAAGAACCCACATGGAGACTCTCTCTCTCTCT